AAGGTATTAATGGCAATAAGGCAATATCACTGCAGACTGGTGTTATTGTTCTATTCGTTTTCTGTGATAATTTTATCCAAGATGATTATACTTATAGTTCTTGCAATGATGATCCCATAAAACCGTCCATACTTTTCACATTATAACATATGATGTTATTTGTTGAGATACTTATTAGCCTTAAAGAGACTAAAACGCTGTTCCAAAAGTAGATATTAGCCTAATTATTAATATTTATTAACTTTTAACTTATTTATTATTATAACATATTACTTCAGTTGACATAATAATTCTTCGCTATTAATTACATTTACTGCTACTGCAATTTTAATTTTAGATGATGTGTGTTTATGTAAAAAGCAAGGGTTTGAAAGTAAGGGAATAAAAAGAAATGTGAATAAGTTAAACACTAGTTTCACTGCCCGTTTTAACAAATATTTAGGATTTGGTCGCATCAATATTCATATTATCTTATTTATATCATTATATCACTATTTATATCACTAATAATAGCGTATCCCTTTCACCATTATTACCTTATTATGGCTTTCAAATGTTGAAACATTAATATTATAAAGGATTATAACGTTTTACTTATAATTCTATTTTTATTAGCTTCCAGTGAAGTACTTTGGAAATATCAAAGACTGAAACCTACAATACATGTGAGCACTAATCTTTAGCTAAATTAAGACGTTTCGGTCCATTAAACTTCTCCTATTTCATAAGGCACCAACACACCGAGATCCAAAAGTGGTAACTCTCCGACGATACTGGACACATACCACGGAAACCTCATAACAAGGATATCTTGAAACGGCTAAAGTCTTGCCAAATGCATCTATCGGGAGAACTGATGCACTGGAAATCCCTTCAAAAAACGAAACCAACGTCAGGATTATTAACAGCAAGCTGATATTAGGCAGAGCAGCGCTGGTCCGGGCAACTTGAAAAGCTGCCAAAGCATATGGACAAGGAAGTGCAGCTAATCCAATTATGTTAACTAAAAATCAAACCTCAGTCGCAGGCGAGGGAAAAATGCCTCAAGTCTAAACCTGAGTTGCTTCGAGAACTCTAATCAATGATTAAATTCAAAGTAAATTCAAATAAAAAAACCCGAAGATCAAGAACAAAATTTTCAAATTTTGATTTTTGGACTTTTTGATTTGTCAATTTTTCTCTCGTTTAGAAAAAAACAAACTTGTGTACGAAGCGCATAAAGCCTTTCGGATCGTTTTGTGAAACCGGTTGTGAAAATTCTGCCATCTTTCAGGAAAATTGCACGTTGCGGTTTCACTCCCTCATGACCGTTGCCCTGACGAAGCACTTCACCCGTGTGCGAATCAATCACCCGTATTTTCTTATCTTTGCATGTTGTCACAAAGCGACTTCCTGAAAATGCACACAATTTCGGGGGAAAAAAAGAGGAAAATTTTTGAATATTTCAATTTGTAATTCACAGCGTCTAAATCAAGCAACTGTCA